TTTAATCAAATCATTGCATAAAGCTCTAAGCTACATTAAAAGAGATAAACAATACACAGATGTAATACAACTATCACTGATGTACTTGAAAGTTATTCGAATATAAAATATCATGGAGGTCAAAACTCAAACGGTTAAGGATCAAGAAAATGCAAATTGCCCTTATATGAGCCACGGGTTAGAAAAATCCGATAAATAAATTTCAAAACATAGCAATTCCGCATTTCTTTCAATACATTTCTCTCTTTCAAAACGATCTGCAATCTTCATACGGCCACAACAGAAAGCATAACGACTTCTCCGAAACCAGAGAAAGGACAGGAGCATCCCAAAATTGTCCCATTTCCTCCTTGCCACCTTTTTGGGATTTTATCTTGACGAAGCATCTCTGGCGGGAAAAGTTCTCCGGCCCGAGTCCCGTTCTCCGGGATTTATTTACAGTAAAATGTAAATGGCTTTTCTGCAGGAGGTTCGACGTTTCAGGAGAAAATCAGGAAATGGGCGAATCTAAAAAACGGGATCAGGAACTAAGTGAGATTCGGGATAGGACTTCAGATAGAGAGACTAGTAGAATCCTTCTGCAACAAAAGAAGTTGATTCCGGTTTTTCCTGTTGGCATCTGGATCGCGTTCGTGAGCCATTTGCTTTGATCGCCCAGTCAGATTAAAAAGCAGATGTATTGAATTCGTGATTAGGCGACAAATTTCGTACACTAAGTTTTGAGATAAAGATGCTCGATAGACCTTATTCTAAATGGAGATACACTCATGTCCATAAATTAAGGATAATTCAGAATCACACAGAAATTGAACTCTAAAATAAAAATTTCACCTGTAGAATTATCACACACATCTTGAAGAAGACTATGCAAATTACAGGAAACCACCAGATGGCACTGATAGTATGTCACAATGACGAGAGTATAAGAGAGGGGTATATAAGGAATGTTGGCAAAGAAGTAAAACTGTTCACAAGCGCTTTAAAAGAATTTTAGTGCAATAACCGCATAATTATGGCACAAAGGAAGCATTTGGATGATTTTTTACGTGGTAGAATTATCGGACGACTGGAATGTGGACGTACCCAGCTGGAAGTGTCCGAGGAACTTGGAATCGCCCAGAATGTTCTCTCCAGGCTTCGGCAACGATTCCAAGATGATGGTAATGTGAGTAGATGTTACAGCACAGGTCGCCACCGAGTTACAACGCCGAATGAGGACCAGTATTTAGCAGTTACTGCCAAAAGAAACAGACGGAGCACAGCATCCGACCTGTCTCGTCAGCTCTCTTCAGTACATACTCCAGCTCTTCAGCTCTTAACACGACAGACAAAACGAAATCCGTTGTAATATATATCGCCTTTGGCTAGTAAAAATTGTAATATCGGGCTCTCTCCTAAGCAGGGTTTGGAATAAATATTAATATGAACGTAGGGGAAGTCAACTCAGGTAGAGGTGATGTTTGCACTGGTTGCACTTCTCGTACTGGTAGAGGTGATGTTTGCTTCGAGTTTGATTGGTTTGGTTTGTCGGTTTATGGTCATTTTATGCACACGAGGGCTAAACAGACCGGGACCCTCTGGGTCTGAAGTTTGTAAAGTAGACTATATTCTTTCTTTTTTTTTTAAATCTTTCTGAATGATAAAAGGAAAACATATTAATGTCTTCAAGGCTATGTCGAGAATAGGAACGATAAATATATAGCCAGGAACGTTTTTCTATTTGAACTTGAGAAGTCTTAAGGCGGGAATGGTACTCCTTCGTAGGATAATTTTAGATGAATTCGTTCCAATGTATGATAGCATAATGTCAATGCAGGCTAGTTAAATTCTTTTGAGACATCTGAAGTTTTCGCGTCGAATTATCTTAATCATAGTGGCTAGAATTTGAAAGTCGTATCTTAAAAGGTTGATAACAGTTTTAATAGAAAAAAAGTTTAAAAAACATGGGTCACTAATACAATTACAGCCTTCTTATTTGCAAAAGAATATTCCATTGAAGTGTTTATTTCGAGTACTTTAAAATTCAAAATTAAGTTTTATAAATTAACATTTTTTGTAACACAGTAAATATACAAATAATGATTTTCAGGTTAAATAAACACCTACAATGTGAATATGATATTTTACAGCTTAATAAGCTTCATTTAAGGGTTTTTTTAAATTTTAAATTCAAAAAAATTATGTTGATGTATAATATCAAAATAAACCATGAGCTTTTATTCAGTATTGCTTAATTTTCCCCAGAAAGTACAAATACACTACTTTATTTGCTTATGTTTAATAATACACTTCATTGGAAATGCCATAATTAATAACAGTCATAAATATTAATTTATTACAGAAGCATAAAATAACTAAACAACAGAATTTTCGTAGTGGATAAAGTAAATATATTATTTCATAACGTCGAAAATTAAATTGCAATTAAACTCATCATTCCTGTGTAATATCTGGATCTATTTTTTTTCTTAATTATTTTCTAAAGAAGATTGGTGTAAAAATGTTTTTTTTTTAAAAATTATATCCTTTACTTTATTTGGGCATTCAGTTGGAAAAGAAAGATATTAGATTGCAAAAGACCATTCTGCTAATAAACGGAAAAACTTCCCCAATTGGCTGGCATCTGCTACACAAATAAAGTAACGGATATTATTCTCTTTTAATTAAATTAATTAAGTCTTTGGAGAACTGTTCATTTCCTTTTTTAATCACTTGCTGTTTGCCGAAGAGGTAGAATAATTAATGAAAAAAGAAGATGGAAAGGTTGTAGATATAACCAAAGTTTTTTTTCATTCTTTCTCGGAATTTTTTTAAAGAAAAAGTTTCTATAAATTGGTAGTTTCCTTTTTCTTTGTTGTTGTTATTATTATTTAGGGATCGTAGTTTTTTTTCTGGAATATACCTAGTAAATTGTGAGAAAACATTGCTACTTTGGGAAAAGAAAGAAAATTAATAAGGTATTTAATTGCGTAATTAAATTTTTAGACTAAGTAAATTAAAATATAATTAGCTTATAAGACCCATTGAAGTTTTCTCTTCTTATGCAATTTATATGCAAATGCGTAGGGTAGTGAAATTTTAATTGCTTTACGATCTTCTTTTTAAATAAAAGAATATAGTTCAATAATAATAATAATAATAGTATTTTTAAATTCACATTTCATTTTCTGGAGTTTCATGATCTTTTTTTTTTTTTTTTGCTGAACAGCGATGGATCAGGTGTTCCATTTAAGTTTACCCACCGATGACTGCCAAGCCACTATTAACCCACCAATGGGGTGATGAGGGAAGGATATGAGTATAATATATTGATTTATACTACTTACTATAAAATATATATCTGTGCTAAATACAAAATTTAATTAAATTTTATATTTAGCACAGATATATATTTTAATAGTGTATCAAATAGTCTACTGTGTGGCATTGATTTCAATTGGCAGTTTCCTTACATAAATATTTCAACTCTAATTTTTATTTCATCAAAAGAAATACGTGTATTAATATCTTACAAAACTGATATTTATACTCTCCAAAACAGTAAGAGACTTATTTATGTGTACGTTTAAAACATTATCATTTCATGGTGGTTTACATAGTTATTTGTCGATCATCCATCTTTAATATCTGTGATCGCCTTCTTATGGCTATAACAGCAGAAATGCTCGTCTCAAAACATTTGGGTTGCAAATTTCTCTCTGTTTAGTTATGCATCATTTCCGAAAAAGAATTTAAGCATCAGTAACTGGATACATTCTCAAATACTTTCTATTGCCAATGCACCGAGATTTAAAGATTTGAAATTTAAATGATGTACAGAGGTTTATGTGGGTCATTTATTATACATTCATATTGACTTTTATTGAAGAATGCGATAAATAAATAAAGCATCCATTTTGTATCTAAAAAATGTTATCAAATATACCTTCCTGCTCTTTCATTATCGTTAATGAATCTTCAGAGCTATTTGTCTTAGCTATTTGAATAATAGGAAACCAATAATTTATTTAAGATATTTTATAAACAAGGGAATATACAGGACAACACTGTCTAAGATCATTCATGTTAGAATAATTTAGGAGGAGAACGTATTTCTTATTTTCTTTTAATTTTTGCTCTATGATGACCGCGACTTGATGGCCTTTGGTACTTCAGGTTCGAATCCTGGCGAATTCCTCCTTACATCTAAATGTTTTTGGAAGGCAATGCCATCCTTTCATCCTCATGAATAACAGAGAAATATTTTGTGAATAAAAAGTTTCTCGGCCTTTTATTATCACATTTGATTTTTCAATGATTAAAATTGCTATGATTTTCATTTTGATCGAAAGGCTGTGATAACAAAAGAATGAATCAATTCAAACCAAACAATTTCCCAGCTACCTCTGTATCAAGTCAATATCTTTTCTGGATAGACTACTCAGATTTTTTTTTTTTTTTCACATAACAAAATGTTTATTAAGCAGTACTCGCAGCACACATTAAGCGATTTCACAGCACACATAAAAATTATAGAACATGTAATCTATTCAACAACCTCTACCCTTCACTAGCAAATCACATTCCAATCTTTGCATCACCATTTCAAAACAAAAACAAACCACACTAGCAAATACCTCGTCTCCGCAGACCTCTACCCTCTGTAGCTATCTGCTATCAACTCTCTCTCTCCACATCCGTCCAGACATGGGCTTGGCAGACAGCTCTGATGACGTCACCCAGATAACGTCTCAAATATATATAAAAATTATTTTAAAAATGTCCAACTATAGAATGTGAACAACAGGAATAAGTTCTTGCGAGACGTTTATTTTCCATTATATTTTTTAGAAAATAAATTCTACTTTGAAGAAAAAAATATACTTAAACTACATTGATTTATATTGCTGATATTTCAGTGATGCTTTGAGTATCGAATATGCTGCAAAGAGAGAATATACGATAGGTATATTATTACATATGCCGCAGTTGATATATGTAATACTATACTTATTTTCTCAACGGCCATGCCATGCTGAATATACCGGTTCTCGTTAGATCACCGAAGTCAAGCATCATTGGGCGCGGTCAGTACTTGGGTGGGTGACCACCTGAGAACACCGCGTGTCGTTGGCATTCACAAATTTGGGACCTGAATGGCCGAGTGTCTAGCGCTCGGTGCCACAGGTTTCGGGTTCGAATCCCGGCGGTGCCATGGATGTTTGTAGTGGTTCGGAATCCACTTTAAGCCCATGGTCCCGGTCTCCTATGACTGTAAGAGCGTCACGGAGCCAAAGTCAGGCTTCTACCTACGGGTGCTCCATCACAACAGAAGCTTCTTCCTTCCCCTTCAACCATGAGTGCGTATGGGCTCGTGGGCTTGGCCAGCCACGTGGGATAAGAAACAGCAACAACATACTTATTTTCTCCAATCTTGTAAAAAATTGCTGCTAGCATTGGTACGATATGTCATATTAATGCGACTTTTCGCATCGAAATCCTTTCCACTTACCTATGTTATCATGTTAAATGTTTGGATAGATTATGTAACGATTTCGACATGGAATGCTTTACAAAGGGATTGAAAAGAGTACATAAATCATTCATGCAGGTGCGAAACACTATTTTGTAAATAATTAAAAATTCCATTTTGTGAGAGGTATATTTTCTATAAAATATTATTAGAAATAGAAATTTGATTTTTATTGATTTGATTAAACAATTGATTTGATTTTGATATAAAAGATCAATTTTCGGTTATTTTTATCAAATTTTTAGCATATAAAATTAAATTTTTTTTTCATTTTTAATGTGAAATTCAAAATGTTTAGATTATACAATAAAAAAATTTTCAAGAAGAAAAAAAAATCGAAAATTCCTCCTTTGAAACTGTACAACTTAAAAGAAAGTTTTGAAGATAGCAATTCGTACTACTTTTATCGTATGTGAGTTTATTTAGGTATATTCAATGCAGTACTCATAATAGCAGACTTAATTTCTTTTAAATTTTATATTAGACTATAATTAAGTGGAAATATGCTATCGTTAATTGATTGTTTTACACAAAAAGGGTTCCATAAAAGAGAAAAATTATGTGCTGATTAATATCGTCCATTCTATTTTATCTCAACAGCTTGTTAAAAAATGATTCTATGCTGAAAAACGACCTACATAAAAACAAATTAGAAGCTACTTTTCCGATATATAGCGCAGATTACTCAATCTTCCACACAGTTGTTGATTCCACGACATCTTAACTCGATCTTTACTACCATTTTGATCTCCTAACTCTGTAGCTTATACCTTTATCGATGGATGGCAGTGAACCAGTGCCGGAGTAATCTGGGCATTCACGTTTAGGGAAATGCCGGACTTTAAAGCGATGCGGGTGCTTATCAGGCGATTCTGGTCATCAAACGGGACTTATCGGCCATTCGTCATTTAAAGCCAACCAGAAAGGCTTATGGAAGCGTTACAAACTTATAAATTTTGTTAAAGGAAATCTTTTGAATTGCTTAGCTTGGTTAAATGTATATAAATAGTGAGGTGCAGCATGACATGGAGGGATTTTTGATATTTAATGTGACCCAAAATTACGTACTAGACATGAAACAATGCAATGAAAAGCATTAAAAGGATATAATATTCTCTGAGGTACGGGAAAGGGAATGGTTGATAAAGTCATGCGTCATGGGTGTTCACTGATCTAGTACAAGAGTCCGACCAAATTTTTTTTTTTTTTTTTTTTTTTGCTTTGCGTCATTTTCTAGAATTCTAATAGGTGGCGTTAGAAGTGATGTAAAATTACTAGATTACAATCGCAAGTACAAGAAAAATTTAAAAAAAAAAAAAATCTAATTTCTGTAAAACGGAATACATTATGATGTTCATTATATGCCATACATAGATGTTTTTTCAAATTTAAAATAGCGAAGGCGATGACTACGATATCCTCAAAAAATTTGTTTTACTATGACTTTAATTGATTAAAAAAATGGCAAAAAATTCGATGCTTATTTATAGTAGTAAAAATAAATATAGTAGTTAATAAATTAAAATTATTAATTTAATATAATAGTTAATTTAATTATAATAATAATTAATATAATAGTAATATAATTTTATTATAATAGTTTTGAAATACTTCGTAAGTTCGCTTCAATAACATTTGCGGTTTTAAAATTTTATTAAGATGATCGTTATTGAAGTACACAAGAAAAAAACAAACCGAAAACAAAGCATTGAAAAGTGTAAATTTGCAACTGCATTTACAATTTGCAAATGTATTTTTTTTAACATTTAGACCTCAAAATGGAACCATAATATATTTATTGATTACTCCAAAATTTAGCATTGATGCATTCTGCATATTCTTTCAAATTTTTTTTCTGCACAAACTAAAAGAAATATTTAAAAAATAAAAAAAAATAAAAACATTGAAAATGAACAAGTATTACAAAGTATTCAACTAATTTTAAATATCCCAAGAAACCTAAATGGAATTGGAAAATTGGTGTTGAGTAATCTAAAGTTTTGTAAGTATTTGCAGAAAATTTTGAAAATTGAAAACTTGAATGCAATAGTACAGGTTTTGTACTCCAACACCAATCCACAAATTTTCCTCGCTAGGGGAAAAAGAAATATCCTCTACCTTATTCATATATCTGCTATCACATCACTAGACAACATGAGGAAGCATAGAAAATATCAGCAGTTTTCAAAATTTGACAGCATTCAAAACAGTGGTATCAAAATCTTTTCCCCATATGAGTCCTTGCGGAATTTAAAACATAATCGATTGATGGATTAAAAGTTCAAAGTAACTTTCCGCTTATAGTAACAAACACAAAGTACTAATATATTCTTGTCTAGGCAGTAGTACAAGTTCTGTATTCTATAACCAATCCACAAATTGTCCTCGTTCGAGGGAAAAGAAAAAGTATCAACCTTAATATTCATATATCTGCTATGACATCACTAGACAACATGAGGAAGTATAGAAAATATCAGCAGTTTTCAAAGTTTGATAGAATTCAAAACTGTGGCATCAAAATCTCTTCCCTATTTGCGTCCTTACTGAATTAAAAAGTATAATCGATTGATGGATTAAAAGTTCAATGTAACTTTCCGCTTTTAGTAACAAACACACTATACTAATATATTCTTGTTGAGACAGTGGTACAAGCTTTGTACTCCAAAACCAAACCACAAATTTTCCTCACCAAGGGCGAAAACGAAATAATATCTATCTTAATATTCATATATCTGCTATTACATCAATAGATATCATGAGGAAGTATAGAAAATATCAGCAGTTTTTAAAGTCTGACAGAATTCAAAACAGTGGTATCAAAATCTCTTCCCCATCTGAGTCCTTACGGAATTAAAAACATAATCGATTGATGGATTAAAAGTTCAAAGTAACTTTCCACTTATAGTAACAAACACAATTTATTACTATATTCTTGTCCAGACAGTGGTACAATCTTTGTACTCACCAAAACCATTCCACAAGTTTTCCTCGTTAGAGAAATAGCATCTACCTTCATATTCATATATCTGCTATGGCATAACTAGACAACATGAGGAAGTATAGAAAATATCAGCAGTTTTCAAAATTTGACAGAATTCAAAACATTGGTATCAAAATCTCTTCCCCATATCAGTCATTACGGAAATAAAAATATAATCAATTGTTGAATTTAAAGTTCAACGTAACTTTCCGCTTATAGTTACAAATACATTATACTAATATATTCTTGTCTAGACAGTGGTGCAACCTTTGTACTCCAAAACCAATCCGCAAATTTTCCTCGTTAGAGAAATAGTATCTACCTTCATATACATATATCAGCAATGATATCACTTGACAACATGAATAAGTATAGAAAATATCACCAGTTTTCAAAATTTGACCGAATTCAAAACAGTGCTATCAAAATCTCTTCCATATCTGAGTCCTTTGAAGTTATGAGATAATGCATTGAAAAAGAAAGCAGGTAAAGACTAATAGGTGACTTGCCCAGATATATGCATATATATATATAAATATAAAGAAAGAGACAAATAACGTTTTGAAGTAATCTAAACAAAACGAGGAATAATTAATTTATAAATATAAAAACAAATAAATATCATTAAGAAGCAGATTTTAAGGAAAAAGGTTCGAGAGAAATAGAACAAGTGAACAGAAAGAAAGTCTAAAAATAAAATAGAAGTAAACCGTAAGAAGAAATGATTGCGAAAACGCGTTGCCAAAATAACGCGGGATGCTGAAGGTCAAGGTCAGCTGTAACTTTTCGCTTATAGTTACAAACAAAATATACTGTTATATTCTTTTCTAGACTGTGGTACAAGTTTAGTACTCTAAAGCCAAAACACAAATTTTTCTCGCTATGTAAGAAAAAGAAATAACTTCTACCTTAATATTCACATATCTGCTTTGACATCACTAGAAAACTTGAATAAGTATAGAAAATATCAGCAGTTTTCAAAATTTGACAGAATTCAAAACAGTGTTATCAAAATCTCTTCCCCACTGAGTCCTTATGGAATTTAAAATATAATTGATTGATGGATTAAAAGTTCAATGTAACCTTTCGTTTATAGTAACAAACACAAATTATTAATATATTCTTGTCTAGACAGTGTCTATTTATTATTCAGTAACTAAGCTATAACGCACGTTAAATAATAAAATGCATATCTTTCTAAAATCCATTTTCCATCATAATGAAATTTCTAAAGAAACATCCACCAGAAACACACAAGAAAAAGCTTAAGCATGGTTTTGTCCTTGAGAGTACATAACAGTACAGTATATTGAGACAGCAAACATTGAATCTCATAAAAGTTTTTTCCTATGGTATTTTGAATGTTTGTTTAAGACTCATTTATGTGCTAATCCCGAAGTTCTTTTATAAACTACTTTTTATGTATTGAACAAGAAAGAAAATTAGCCCGGGTTGACTGTTTCGCCCAAATACTTTTCGCTCAAGTTAATAGTAAAAGTTTCATCTTATGTATTCATTGACGATTTCTTGAGTTGATTTTGAGAACTCAATTACGGAAATTTCATTTCTTATTTATAATATTTATAGTGGAATATTTTTAGATATTTTAAAAATTAACA